AGAAAGAAAACAGAAGAATACCCAGAGCGGTGTGTATATATATGCTTGTACATGTATGTGTAGTGTGACCTAAGTGCAAGTAGAAGTAGCAAGATATACCTGAAATCTTGCATATTTATGAGACAGACTAAAGACACCAGCAATCCTACCATCATGTAAAACAATTACAGGTTTTCGTTGTACACTCACTTGGCAGGATGGTAGTACTTCTCTGGGTGGTTGCTGTTTACCAACCTACTACCAAGGATTCAACACAATAACTGCACTAATTTGTTTATCATTATATTGCTTACAAAACTTGTTTACAAGTTTACTGTAAACAAAATGATGAAAATATTAGTGCGGTTATTGTGTTGAATACAACAGTACCATATAGTACCATATGGTACAATGGTGCCATAGGGTGCAATTGTACCATATGGTACAACAGCACCATATGATACAATGGTACCATATGGTAAAATATGGTACAATGGCACATGATACAATGGTACCATGATACAATGGTACCATATGGTATAATGGCACCATTTGATACAATGGTACTATATGATACAATGGTACCATATAGGGCAATGGTACCTTATGGTACCATATGATGCAATGGTACTATATGGTACTGTTGTATTCAACACAATAAACACACTAATATTTTCATTATTATTTTGTTTACAATAGTTGTTTACAACAAAAATATGCAAAAATGTTATATACTAGTAATGTTCTATTACAGTAAGGCCCCGCTTTACGGCATTCCACTAATACGGCGATGTCAAATTATGACCAAAATTTGCTATACGGCAAGCGATCTTTCAAATACGGCGCCCCCCACCCGGTTTGTTTACATTTTCCGTGACCACATCTATTATGTCAGGAAACTTTCCAAAATTTCAAGTGTTTTAAAGTTACTGCATATTTTATATGTACTCTGATAATTATACTTATGTGTACCTGTACCTAAATATACTTACACACTGTGCTGGTGTGCAGGTACACATTAAAATCGCTAAGTCTCTCTCTACTCATGATGCCAATACTACATAATAATAATCACTCTTGGGCACACTAAATGTCTTATTTTACATCAATATAGGCATTTTCATTAATCCATCAATGATATTTTTCTCAAAATTATATATGAAACCCATTACATAGCATATAAACATGATACATACACTCAGAATACAAACTGATGTAAATATGAGATTTGTTTACAAAGCAGCTGTGTAGGTAGTGTCGGAAGAATTACGTTTTCTCTAGTCAAACACTGGGGGATAACTGTAGAAAAATATTCTTTTCGTATGCCTTTATGTATAGCAATTCACGACCCTTGTGGGTTTAGTGCTTTTTATAATAAATAATAATAATAATAATAATAATATTATTATTAATAATAATAATAATATTATTATTATTAATATTATTATCTTCATTCACTCTAAAAATGGTGTGTTGCTGTTTGTTTATTCTGAACTAACTTGTACAACTTGTACACAATGTAAGAGTATTTGTATTGTGAGGTAATTATTATTATAATAAAAAAAATATTGAGGTAAATGTTTTACAAACTCTTACAAATGGACGTGAATGAACTAAAAGTAGACACATATTAATACGCATTTATTTCGCCTGACCAAGTGATCGTCCACTACCTGTTCAGTTTGTGTTCTTACATTGTCTCAACTCTGTATCTCGTTCTCTCTCTCGTTTACTCTTTCGTTAACTAGTTGGCTCTCATTGACGATGGTGTCTAAGGTTAGCTGTAATAAAAAGAGAAGTCGTATAGCCTCTTGCTTTAAGTGCCAAGTTAGAGGATGATGGTGTGCCTATTCTGATTTTATTCAATAAACACCCTGCCACTCACCTCTCACACATTATATTAATATTTTAAGGTAAAGTAATAAGTGTACTCTGTGTGTATCTTACCTTTTATTGTGTTTTTAATGCCTGTTTCTATTGCTAACTTAATATAAGTTAGTGTAAACTTGTTGTCTGGCATTTACTGCATATTTTATATGCTCTGATAATAATACTTGTGGAGCCGGGTGGAGGGACAACATTACGTTTTCTCTGTTCAGCCATCAGAGAAAAACGTGTATGAATCTGTGTTTGGCCCAGCCACTCCCCCACTCCGCTTTTGTTTACAATTTTCGGCATGAATTATTCATTACTTCTACCTTCGTTTATGATGGCATCTAAAGGTAGTTGTTAGAAATTATTAAATTCAGTGAACAAGGCATGTCGATGTTAATAATATGGCTCTGGGCCACAGTGTAGGTAGCCGGTAGGTGTAGCCCAGGTGGGCTACACCTACCGGCTACCTACACAGACTTTCTACAAATGAACACTACTCACCTCCTCTCTCCCTACATTAAGATTACAAATATTTTAAGATAAGTAATGAATTTACTGTGACTGTATTTTACTTTGTGAGTTTTTAATGCCTAGTTCTATTACTAACTTAATATAATTTAGTGTAAACTTGTTGTCTGGCATTTATATGCATTTATAAATGGAAAAAAATGGCGTTCTGCCTTCCGGCGATAGCCTCGAACCTAACCCGCCGTATAAGTGGGGCCCTACTGTATATATTTAAAAGTGTACAGGAACTTGAAGTGTTCCTTGAGGTGGATGACAAAGCACTTTGTCTAGGAAACTGCGGAGTCAGTAGCTTGTGTCGCCACTCACTCAGTCTTGGCTGGTGTGTACCATATGGCACAGGGTACCATATGGTACAGAGTACTATATGGTACAAAGTACCATATGGTACAGAGTACCATATGGTACAGAGTACCATATGGTAGAATACCATATGGTACAGAGTACCATATGGTAGAGTACCATATGGTACAGAGTACCATATGGTTCAGAGTACCATATGGTACAGAGTACCATATGGTACAGAGTACCATATAGTACAGGACACCATATGGTACAGATACAGGGATAACTATGGAAATAAGTCACCCTGACTTTTTTGGGTTATCCTAGGATTTTATATGCATGCTGCTATGTATGATAATCTATGTAATTGTATTTCTGTACACCTGAATAAACTTACTCAAGTGCATGTGGCATCATAAGTAAGTTTATTTAGTTATACACAAATAGTTACATAGAATATCATACTTAGCAGCATATGTTTGGAGAACCTAGGATAACCCAAAAAAGTCAGACAGACTTGTTTCCATTAGGGTCCCTGTACCCTGTACCATATGGTATAATGTACCATATGGTACAATGTACTATATGGAACATTGTACCATATGGTACCACTCTATCATACGATACCATTGTACCATATATCATTGTATGACATGGTACCATTGTACCATATGGCACAATGGTACCATATGGTTCGAAACCATAGAATTCGTCTTCATCTCCACTTCCATCAGTCTTAGAACTGTAAGTTGTGAAGAGTAGAGTCAGAATTCGCCCGGAGAGTGAGTGGGGAGTGAGAGCTTCCTTGCCGCCAGGCACAAAGAACAAAGCTACTTTGCCGGCGTTCCCACAATGCCATGTGGGCATCCAGATTTTTTCTATGGTGTGCACACTGACCACCCAGACCCATTCTCTCAGATGTAGGCCTACCAGCCTTCTCCCGCTAAATTTGACGCCACTAGAATTTTGGCGTAGATCTACGGTTTGGACCCTGAACGTAAAGCCGTAGATCTACAGGACGGACCCTGAAAGGGTTAAGGTAAGTAATGAGTGAACTGTATATGCATTTTATCACTCTGGGACACTTTAAATGTCATAGAATATTATGTGTGGGTGGGGTGGCCTGGTATGGTATATGCATTTTATCCCTCTGGGACACTTTAAATGTCAGAATATTATGTGTGGGCGGGGTGGCCTGGTATGGTAGCCTGGCTGGCTACCATACATACCACACTTGATTTCTTACAATAAATACTATTCCCTCCCTCCCTCCATTAAGACTACAAATATTTTAAGGTAAGTAATAAGTGTACTATGTGTATTTTAATTTTTAATGCCTAGTTCTATTGCTAACTTAATATATGTTAGTGTAAACTTGTTATCTAGTATTTATATGCATTGATAAGGGGGGGGGTGTTCCATTTTACAGCAGTAGCCTGGAACTTAACCTGCTGTATAAGTGGGGCCCTACTGTATATCACCACCCCTCCTTCAGAGTGTAGGTACTGTACTTCCCACCTCCAGGACTCTAGTCCAGCTAACCGGTTTCCCTCAATCCCTTCATCAATGTTACTTTGCTCACACTCCAACAGTACATCAAATCATAAAAACCATTTGCCTCCACTCGCTCCTAACACACTCACACACACTTGTTGGTGTCTAATTTTATTAGACAATTCCTGACTGTATTCAATTCAACATACCTTCAGTCATCTTTCTTTCACTATTAAATTTCATATTGTACATTTTCAACAGAAAATTTATCACGGTAATCATTTATTATAAACTTATCTTTCATGGACTGTGCTTTAACACACTAACACATTATCCAGCAGTGCATTCATGTTCTCACTATCCATTCACTCTCAAAGTTACTACTACACGATATGACCTACTTTTAAACACTTATCAACAATATTAAGGTTTCAGGTACATCTTGCTACTTCTACTTACACTTAGGTCACACTATACATGCATGTACAAACATATATACACACCCCTCTGGGTTTTCTTCTATTTTCTTTCTAGTTCTTGTTTATTTCTGCTTACCTCCATGGGGAAGTGGAACAGAATGCTTCCTCCATAAGCCATGTGGGTTGTAAGTGGTGATTAAAATGCTGGGAGCAAGGGTATGGTAACCCCTTCTCTTGTATATAATATTAAATATAAAAAGAGAAACTTCTTTTTTCTTTTTGGGCCACCTGCTTTGGTGGGATACAGCCAGTTTGTTGAAAAAAGATTAGCAATAATTTACTAGATATCTCTTCTGGCTTCCAAAATATATAACTGTCAACTTGCCTTAATAAAATGGACATAGTAAAGAGATAAAAACTAACCTTCTAATGGCTTCCAAGAAATCTTTTATATCAGACATTGACGCTTGCTTGATATCTTCTCTCACCCTCGGGATGTTGTCACGCATCTGCTGAGCAAATCGATAACTGGCTACTCGAGGTAGGTAGGTATGTTCTAACTGCTCAAGAGTCTTCAGAGCTGGGTAGTACCTGTGAATAAATATCAGAAAGATGTTCTATAAGCTTTTCCATCTTTCCATATAAGTTAGTCATTTCTCGCCATGGAAGGATGACAAAAAAAGTTTAATATTCACCATCACTCACTGGAGCCGAGTCAGGTAAGGAGGATGTAGGTTGGTGGGCCATTGTTGGATCATAACAGTCATTAATCCAATAATGACATGCTGAATGTTATGTGCTATGGACATTAATTTGTGTTCATATACAAATTATCTAATATAATAGATAATGAATTTTTCTATAAATTCATATTATTATTATTTTTTAACTCAACAGCTATCTCCAGCCAAGACAGCATGACCCAAAGAAGAAAATGCATTTACCAAGATTCACTCAACTGCTGTCTTTCCTGAAGAGTGCATGCATTGCAATCAGATTACGACTCTGACAGCAACATCTCCACCCTGTCCTTTAGAGTGCAGCTACTGCCCTTCCCACTGTCAGTACTCAAATAAGAACATAAGGAGCACTGCAGCAGCCCTATTGTCCCATGCAAAGCAGGTCTAAGTCACACCCACTCATGTGTAAGGAAGGAGCACTGCTGCAGGCCTACTAGCCCAAGCTTGTACTTGTTTAACCTATTTTTTTAAAGCAACACAACGTTTTAGCTTCAATGATGCTACGCAGGAGTTTGTTCCACTCAAACATAACACTATTAAAAAACCAATGCTTTCCAATATCTTTTCTAAAACTAAATTTTTTCAGCTTGAACCCATTACACAAAGCCCTGTCTTGGTTAAGATATTTTGGCACATTATTTACATCACCTTTATTTATTCCCATTTTCTATTTATACACCTCAAATAATTTTTTTTTAACATACTGGCCATCTCCCACGGAGGAAGTGTGACTTGAAAAAGAAGAAACACTTTCACCATCACTCGCTCCATCACTGCCTTGCTGGAGGCATGCAAATACTACAGTTCAAACTGCAAATATCCCCACCCCTTCTCCAGGATTTTACAGTGCTAGTCACAGTATTATGCCGCCCCTCCCCCACAAATGTACCAAAGCACAAACACACACCATGAAAGATTATAATATATATATTTGCACACTTACTGAGGTTTTAATACTTGGTGCTGCATCCTTTACGCTTAATCACATCCCTCAGCCGTGTAGGAAGACTCTCTCACAAATTCTTAAGGGTTTGGGGAGGTATATTATTCCATGCCTCATGCAGTGCAGCCTCCAGCCGTGGGATGGAACTGATATCCTTGCCCAGTAAACTTCGTTTCACTACTGACCAGTTTCTCAATAGGGATTAGGTCTGGCGAATTGCCTGGCCAGTCATTAAAGAACCTCACTTCTCAGTCCTTAAGCCAATGAACCACAGACTTGGCAGTATGACACGGTGCACTATCCTGCATAAAAATCATAGCCCCACACTTGTCAAACGCCTCAGGTAAATTGTCACACAGTAACTCCAGGTAATTATACTGGTTCATATACTGGTTTTTGGGAAGCACAATGAGTTCACCAACACTCTGAACACTGAAACACCCCCAAACCGTGAGCGAGTCTAGGTGTTTGGTGGTCCTACAGGTGTAGCGTGGGTCTTGCGGGTCATCACCTCTGGGCTGGTACACACATCCCACATGGTTACAGGTGACGGTGAAGGTTGCTACATCACTCCGAAGTACTTCAGACCACTGTTGAGGATTCCAGTGAAGACAGTTCTTTGCATAATCCAGCCTATGTTTCTTCTGTGGCTTGGAGAGGATTGGTTTCTTAACCTGGCGGTGACTACTGTAGCCCAGTTCTGACACACATCTGTTAACAGTTCTTACAGACACCTCTGAGAGAAGATGTGGGTTCTTTTCTTTCAATTCTCTAGCAGTTATCTTAGGTGTACTCTCAAACTGCTTCTTTAACACAGTTAAGGTACGAACAGATGTCTTCTTTGAGGGGCCAGGCCGAGTCTGGCAGACGGTAACTCGACATCACCACCAGCCTTGAAAAGCTGCACTCAGTTCCTCACTGAACGCTCACACACACCAACATTCTCCCCTATTTCTTTCATCTGGTGCCCAGCTTTGTGAAGTCCTATGATTTGAGCTATAGTTTCAGGTGTTAAAGACTTTCTTTTGCCCATAATCAAACATGTATAGCCCCACTGGACAAAATATGAGGCAGATGAGAGACAAAAGTGCAACACTTCCTCTCACCATGGCAGTCACGTGAGCACTGAGGAGTCATTGTGGAGTGTGGAGGCAGGCCATGATGTCATGCTAATAGCTTCTACTAGGCATAATGCACTGATGAAAAAAGACCCCCTTGTATGGTAGGCCTTTGATTTTTGTCATAACATTATGCCGGGGCGCTCACCCGGCATAATGTTGTGACTAGCACTGTAAGTTTGGCTAACTGGTTTCCCCTGAATTCCTTCATAAATGTTACTTTGCTCACACTCTGTCAGGTCATAAAACTCACTTGCCTCTACTCACTCCTATTTAACATGGTCACACATGCTTGCCGAATATCTAAGCCCCTCGCACACAAAACCTTTACCCCCTCCCTCCAACCTTTCCTAGGATGACCGCTACCCCACCTTCCCTCCAATACAGATTTTTATGTTCTCCAAGTTATCCTATTTTCTTCCATCCTCTCCAAATGTCTGATCACCTATACAACCCCTTTTCATCCCTCTGGATAATACTTTTAATAACCCTACACTTCCTTTTAATCTCCAAGCTATGAATTCTCTTCATAATTTTCACACCAAATATTGTTCTCAGACATGACATCTCCACTGCATCCAGCCTCCTCCTTGCTGCAACATTCACAAGAATGCTTCACACCCTTTAAGTATATTATCAAAAGCATGAACATGTACAGTAGGGCCCCACTTATATGGCAGGTTAGGATCCAGGCTACTGCCAGAAAGCAGAACGCCATTTTTTTCCACTTATAAATGCCAGGTAACAAGTTGACACTAACATATATTACGTTAGCAGTACAACTAGGCATTAAAAACAATAAAAAGTAAAAATACACACAGTACACCCATTACTTACCTTAAAATATTTGTAGTCTTAGTGTATGGTGAGAGGTGAGATTAATTTGTAGGAAGTCAGGTTTGGGAAGTATGGAATCCAGCCAGGGCAGCCCTCCCCACCCCCACCCACATGTAAACAAATCAGGCGAACATGTCTGGTTTTCATCACTTTACATTGTGTACAAGTTGTCTCCATGTTGATACAGTAGAATAAATAAACAGAAACACTCCCATTCCATGTAACATCATTTTTAGAAGAAATGACCCCTGAGTGAAGGCATACTTAGGTACAGGTACACATACGTATAATTATCAGTTATTTTTTTTTTTAACAAGGTGGCCATCTCCCACCGAGGCAGGGTGACCCAAAAAAAAAAAAAAGAAAATCCCCAAAAACAAAATACTTTCATCATCATTCAACACTTTCACTCACTCACACATAATCACTGTTTTTGCAGAGGTGCTCAGAACACAACAGTTTAGAAGCATATACGTATAAAGATACACAACATATCCCTCCAAACTGCTAATATTCCGAACCTATAATAATAACGTAGGCATGTAATCTGCTGGGCTACATACCTACACCTACCTACATAGCTACAAGATATTTAATGTGGCCCAGAGTCATATTATTACCATCGACATACGATGTTCACTGAGTTTAATCGTTTCTAACAACTACCTTTAGATGCCATCATAAACAAAGGGGAAGTAATGAATAATTCATGCCGAGAATTGTAAACAAATATATCATGTATTAAGGGGAGTGACACAAATTTTCCCTCCCTCCGGCTACCACACCTCCATAGTATATAAACATAAAATGTTTATATGCTATGTAACATGTTTCTTATATAATTTTGAAGAAAATATCATAGATGGATTAATGAAAATGTCTATATTAACGTAAAATAAGACATTTAATGTGCCCAAGAGTGATTATTATTACATAATAGAGATGTGCTCATGGAGAGTGTAAACAAAGTGGGTGGTGCATGCTGTATTTGAAAGACTGCTTGCCGTATAGAAAGTTTTGGTCATAATTTGAGATCGCCGTATTAGTGGAACGCCGTAAGGCGAAACGCCAAAAAACAGGGCCCTACTGTACTATAATGAGTATTACATGTCTGAAATATTTTCTTAAATCTTTAAAAATCTAATACTCTAGCACATACCTTTTTTCCTGCATTTGCTTCTGTAATTTGGAATAAGTGGTTAAGACTGGCAAACATAACGTGAGAGCATCAATAGCAGCACAGATGTTGGACTGAACTTTTCTTGTTTTTAATCAACTCTTCACTCTTGGCAAGAAGTTTTTTTTGCAGAGTCTTGTGCTTCATCATCTATTCTGACAACTTCTGTCTGATGGAAAAGTTAAATTAGGAACACGAATGAGAAATATCTGAAGTATTCTACCGAATATCCGAGGAAAGTTGTTCCTCATGAAGCTAAAGACATATGGAATACTTTATCTGGAGCAGGAACCCTGCTGAGTGTAGCTCACTGAGGTCCCTTTAACTATGGGCAAGCCTGAGTCCATGGAATCACTCATACCAGACCCAACACCACTTAATCTGACTGACACATACATTATCTAAAATCCCATGTAAATGGCAATGTCATCAGAAAAATCCTTTTAGTATTTTAAAAAAAATGCCATATCCCACCAAGGTTACCTACCTGGAGTGTACCTGGAGGGTATTCTGGGGATCAATGCCCCCGTGGCTTGGTCCATGGCCAGGTCTCTCAGTGGATCAGAGCCTGATCAACCAGGCTGTTACTGCTGGCCACGTGCAGTCCAACATATGAAACACAGCCCGGATATTCTGGCACCAACTATAAATATCTGTCCAGCTCCCTCTTGAAGGCAGCCAGGGTCTATTGGTAATTCCCCTTATGCACGGTGGGAGGCTGTTGAACAGTCTAGGACCCTGGACACTTATTATGTTTTCTCTTTGTGTACCATTGGTGCCCATACTTTTCACTGGGGGTATTTTGCACTGCTTGTCCAGTCTTTTGCTTTTTTAGGGAGTGACTTCTGTGTGCAGATTAGGGGACCATTCCTTCTAGGATTTTCCCAAGTGTAGATCAGGGAATACTCTTCGTCTGCATTCAAGCGATTTAAAATCAAGTCTTCCAAGTTTTCCCCCAGTAGTTGGGGTTTTTTGACAGAACTTATATTTTTTTATTAATTTCAACAGAACACGAAGTAAAAGGGAAATCAGGGGTTAAAAGTGTAAATGCAGTAAAGGTTCTTGACTTTCACCTGCTATGAATGGTGATTTAAACCCTTAATGGCCCAAAACGTATATTACTTTTTTTTTCAACATCTGAAAGTATGTAAAAAAAAATGTAGGCTTTTTTTTTTGTTTTACATGTAAAAAGAAAAAAAAAAATTTTTCTCATTTTTTTTTGTTAACTTTTTGAAAATATGAAAAAAAAATAATCTCCCTTTTGTAGCATACGAATTTGAAGTCGATCGTTTGGACGTTTAAGGGGTTTAATTTACGTATATTCCGCCTAAGAGAAAAGTGATTTAAAAGGTTTTCTCAATGGTTTGACATCTTTTTTCAATATTCTTATCCACCCTACATTTTCATGGGATTTGACCCTTGAAAGTGGATCCTCTACATTACCACCCCCAGGCCCTCACATTATTATTTGCTCTTTGTATGATTCGTTTGTAGTGTACTCAGTTTAATTTTTATCTCCTCTAGTTTTCCATAACGGAGTTGTTGGAATTTGTCTTCATTGAACATAATATTGTTTTAGATGATTAGTGGTTCACTAACACAGAGTATTTTGGGGATTTCATTAAGGTGAATGACTAAAGGAGGAAACACTTTCTTAACCCATTAGACAGGTATCTCGCAAAAAGTACATGATATCAAAATTCTTGAAATGACTCTTTGAACTGCAATATCCCACCCCTCTTTCAAGTGCAGGCACTGTACTTCCTCCTCCATGATTCCAGTTATAACTGGTTTCCATGAATTCCTTTAAGAGTTACTTTGCTCATACCCCAAAAAAACGTCAAGCCGTAACGGCTACTCATCTCCAGTCACCCCAATCTAACATGCTCACAGAACCTGCGGGATGCCAGGCCCCAAGAACTCAAACCCTTCTTCACCCCCCCCTCAAACCCTTTCCTGGAGCCCCCCTATCTCTCCTACCTTCTGTCTCAGATTTATACACTCCTAGGGTCATTCTATTCTGCCTCCTTTTTCTAAAGTCCAAATCACCTCGACAATCCCCTCCTAAGCTTTTTGAATTATATTTTCAATACCCCTTTCCCAACTAATTTCTATGATTAAAATTTAGCATAATAATCACCATATATTTTCTCAAACAAACCACCCCAACACATATTTTAATGAAACCATCAAACATATTTAAGGCCCCAAATAAAACAACTTACTGAACTACAAATACAGATTTAGACACTACCAGGGGGAGAAGTAATTTATTAGTAATTTAAGATACAAACAGAGTAAAAAAAATACGGGTAAGGCCTGCCAAAGCCACTATTCTGCATAAGGGGCTGGCTTAAAATTAATTTAAAAGATTAACTAAGCAATGATGAAATCAGTGATAAAACATTATTGTAAACAATAACTATAAAGCACAAATGATATTACAAAGACAGGTCTATGGTTGTTGCATTGCGTACATTCTCAAATGAGTATCTGTTAGGTAGTGTATTTAAAAAAAAAATAAAGTTAGTTTGGGGTCCTGGGTTTTACATTTGTGTTTTAAAATTGTGAGTAACAATAGGATAACAATTTAAAAGGGTTCAGTTTTTTAGTATTTATTGGTTTGAGTAAGTGATCTTTGAGAAGAGACTTAAAATTTAAAAACGGGTATTTTTTTTTTTATATTTACGGTAAAAATTCCCAGATTTTAGGGCCTTTTTGTGTTTTGATTTTTTGCATAGCGGGATGGACATGGGAACATCAAAGAGTGATCTGGCCTTGTGTTATGGTCAGTTTTGTTTAGGTTGGCAAGGAGATGTTTGGGGGGAGGTTAATATCAGAGATAAGTTTCTTTTATGTAATAGGTCAAAATATATGGATTTTTGTAGGTGAAAGGTTGAGTGTTTTGAATATTGGTGGAGTGTTTGCCGAGTAGAATTTGAACATTCTAACTGCACCTTTTGTTGGGTAATTAGTGGTCTGAGTTGGTTAATTGTTGTTGACCCCATGCCAAATTCCATGGGAGACGGGGTAAAAAAAAGAGTGAAAAAAGGGGCCAGGGGGGGCTGACTGTGGAACATAGTACCGTATCTTCATAGTATGCCAACGTCGGGGAAATTTTCTTAGAAATTTTTTGTATATTTATGAAATTTGAGTCTTTTTATCGAGGTGGATTCCTAGAATTTTCCCCCTTTGTTGCTTTGTGATAGTGATCCGTTTATTGTTATGTTAAAGGTACATCTGTAGCCTGTTACCAAACTGAATGAAGTGGGTTTTGTCAATGTTTATGTAAGTTTGTTATTCCTCATCCAGGTAGATATTTTCTGTAATTCGGGTTTTTTCAGTATTTGGCTGCGTGACTGGCTGGGGTTTGAGAAAAGACGATGAGTGTAATTGAAAAAAGTGGGGGTTTGAGTAATTGCGAAGCATTTGGTGGGTCATTTTGTATAGGAAAAGAAAGGGGGCCAAGGACACTTCCCTGTGGACACCAACTGAAAATTGGTTTGCGGAAGAGCTTCCCCCATTTGCGTACACATTTTGGTTTCTTTTGCTGGGGGTAAGACTTGGGGATTTGAGGGAGTGCCCTCTAAACCATATTTTGGGACTTTTTACGTGGAGCAATCAGGTCAACTGTATCAAAACTTTACGTAAGTCAATGAAGATCCCAGGGACTTTTTTTTTCTCTATTGCAGTGTAAAATTGTTCTACATGTGAAAATGCTCATTATATTTTTATAGGCCTAAATCCAAATTGAGGGGTTGAGAATGTTTTGGGAGATGGGGTAGGAGTAATTCATTTATAAATTTAATTTTTTTCGAAATTTTTGAGAGAGGGTGTAAATTGGATATTGGCCTATTTTATTCAACTCTGTTTGGTCTCCTTTTTATGGACGGGGGTGCCCCTTTCTTTTTTGAGAATGGGGGAAGGTGAGGATTCAAGGGTTTGTTAAAGTGTTTGCAATTTTGGGATAGTACTTGTGACGCTTTTTTTTAAAAAAAGGGATGAAAAGGTATTTAAATCTCCTCCCTTTTTTTTTCCAATGCGTTGATAATAAGGGAGACTTCGTAGGGGTTATGGGAGCTAGGAACAGTGTGTTCGGGTAGTTCCCAGTGAGGTACTATTTGGGGGGGGTATCTGAGTTTGGATTTTATTGGAAAGGGTTTTTTGACCTATGGGGAGAAGAAACTTTGAGTCTTTTGGTTTTTTTTGGTGGGAGTTGGGGTTCATCTGTTTTTGAATTTTTTTTTTCGCTATGCGTTTATTTTTTTGTTCCCAAATTTTGATGGGTCTTCCAGGTCTTTTTTTTTATACCTCAAATGGATAATCTTTCTCATAAACAATTTTTTTCCCCTTCTTATCAGGCTGGTTAGGATTGACAGTAACGTTTTGTTTGGTCTCTGGTTATGTGCCCCCTTTCTGTACTGTTTTTCATATCGGTTTTTTTGTATTTATGGATTTGAGAATACTGGGTTAGCCGGGGACGTTCAGTCCTTAGCTGTCATCTGTTTATTTTTTTAGGGCGTGCTTTTTTTATAAAGGTATTGGGTCTTTTTTAAAAAATTTTTAAAACATCGTCAATACTTAAGATTTCTATCAGTGTGCAGCAATGTTTGTTACTGTGTTGTGAAGTTATTAAAAGGCTGCCTCATTGTGAATTTAAGGTACTTTAGTAGTGTCTTGGGGTATTTTTTCCAAGAGTTTTTTGAGGAAATGGGTAGGGGCTGTGGTATTTCTGTAAATTATGCCTGATTTTAAAGGGGGTATGGTGTTGGTCCAGTTGCAAGTAGGAAAAATAGTCTCGTAACTCTTGTAGGTTTTTTTACTGTTGGGAGCACTGCGACTCTTGTGTTTGTGAAATTTGAACGTGTGGGTCCTGGTCTTGCAGGGGATTTATATTTAAGTCACCTGGAGAGTAGTAGTGATTTTGTTCATCTTTCATCATTACATACTTCCTAGTTTTTACTAAATTGGCTAATGTTTTTGGGAACTCGTAGATGTTTTCACTGTGGAGGTTTTTTTAGGGATTTGGGTTTGAATTTAGCTATTATATATTCCCATGTTCATCCCTTGGCAAGTATTAGTGATACATTCTAGTTGGTCAGAGTAGTATTAGCAGTGCCACCCCCTGTTGGTCTGGCCTACAGTTATGGCTGTGAACCAGGAATGGCA